TGAACCGCTGCATGGGTAGGGTAGAGTGGAACACCGAGGGTGAGGAATGCTCTTGAGGTAGCATTATTTCATTGAAGTCACCACAGATAATCCAGGGGGAGTCTGGGCAGATGCAGGACCTATGCAACTCTTGCAAGTGTTCCCAAAGCTCAGCCCGTTCATAAGAAAGATTTGAAGCATATACCACCGTAATGAAGAAATGAGCAAGATTATTAGGAGCCAAAAGGAGGGTGAGAGCCTGTTTATTCTTCAAAATAACAGAAACATCAACGTCGGGGCTGATCAAAATCCATATACGACCGAAATCATCTTCCGAGTAGTTCTCAAAAAACTGCCACTGTGATCCCAACTTGTCCAAAACGCTGTATTGATTGACCTCCTGTACATGGGTTTCAAGTACAGCTCCAAAAATCAGGGAGTTTAGCTCTAATAGCTCCCTGACAGCGGCTTGTTTCCTAGGGTCGTTGAGACCCCTTATGTTCCAAAAAAACCCCGACATTGTTGGTGGTTAGTTCTCGTGCCCTCCCGCTTCATGGCGGGAGACGTTACTCTGCTGGGGACAGGCTTCAGAACCAAGGTTTGGGATAGAAGAGGTTAAGGATTGGCAAAAATCAGGGAGTTTAGCTCTAATAGCTCCCTGACAGCGGCTTGTTTCCTAGGGTCGTTGAGACCCCTTATGTTCCAAAAAAACCCCGACATTGTTGGTGGTTAGTTCTCGTGCCCTCCCGCTTCATGGCGGGAGACGTTACTCTGCTGGGGACAGGCTTCAGAACCAAGGTTTGGGATAGAAGAGGTTAAGGATTGGGCTGGTTTGATTTGGTTCGGTGGTTGTTCCATATTTCCTTGGATGTCAGGAGTTTGGTTGCCCTGGGATTCGGGTCCGGGGTTTCTGGTGTATTTGGAAGGTTTTTCCCCGTGGGTTTGGTTTGTAGGAGAGCCTAGACTTGTTGAGGAGGAGGGTGATGTAGGATATGAAATAGAGAGTGATTGTGCGTCCATAGCTACAGGAGGGTGCATTTTAGAATGGGCTGGCAGAGCGGTTTCAGGTGGTTTTGACTCCTCTTGGATATCCTTAGGTTCTGATGGGTGAGTTTCAGAGGTGTCCAACGGAGCAGGGACAGGTCCTTTCAGCTTCTCCTGGCTGGAGGGAGATTCTGTGGAAAGAGTCTCTGTCGTCAGCTCATTCGGTTGAGCTTCTTTGCTTCCAACAGAAAGAATGAGGGTCTCAGCCGGTGAGGGTGCTGGCTTCTTGCTCTTGCAGGACTCTTCCTTATGACCGATCTCTCCACAGAGTGGACATTTTGGTGGAACCCAATGGTATAAAACATGTACTATATCAACTGACCCATCATCAAGTTCTAATTCCACCTCTCTGGGAAGTACCTTGGTGAGATCGATATCGATCTTCACATCCACTGATTTAATACTTGTCATTGGCCTGTATGAGATTGGTGTTCCTATGGCACTAGCTATATAGCTTATGCCTTCTGGAGTCAGCAGATGCAGCGGCACATTGGTCAAGTGTGTCCACAAGGGAGCTGACCTGAGTGATGGAGGATTTCTGGCGAAGTCAGGCGACCACTCTCGCACGAACATAGCTTCTGAGCCCACATGCCACAGCTCCTGCTGACGAAATCCTGGTAGTGCTTGATCCCAGCCTCGATAACACTGCTTGGGATTCTGACTCGAGGGAGTCCTGAGGGAGAAGTGACTGGGTCAGCCATTTTTGATAGCTGATTTGTCGGTCCTCTAAGGCGGTTCGCCCAGGAGATAGGTGTTTGGGTTTTAGTCTTAGATTTCTTCCCCTTATCCTTTTCGGGATTTGGGTACTGCTCCGCATCTAATTCTTGAGAGCTAGCCGGAGGTTGCAGAGCCACGCCAATACTATCTGAGGTTACAAGTGGCGGTGAAGAGCAGGGTACCTGATTTGCTTTGCCAGAATCAGGAGAGGATGAACCTGTCGGAGCCTCAGAGGACATTTCCTGGAGGGTAGCAGCAGATTTTGGAGAACCAGCCGGAGCTGTAGTGGGGTTCACTGGAAGCGGAGGAAAATCGGTTTCGGTGAAATGGGGAAAATTAGGGTTAGGGGAATTTGGTGTAACAGACGACATGGGGCGTTTTAGCTGCTCAGTCGAAGACCCCGGTGGGAGAGGAGGGGGGATTGAGATCGGAGATTGGGGGGGAGTGGGTGAAGCTCGATCTCTCAAACGTTGCGAGGAACGTCGAGAGGATTGGGAGTTGGGAGGAGCTTGATGGCCGGAGGTTTGAGGTAGAGGATGAGGAGGGGGGAGGATGGGTGGCAGGTCATTCTGCCGACCCATGGGTCGACGACGGTTAGGGTTTCAGGCGGCGGAACTGGGCTTGCACTCTATCGGAGTCCCTTCTCTCTCTCCTTTCGTTCTGCACATGTTCTTGTCATATTTTCTTCCTTAACCCATTTAACTATTTTTACAAAACAGATCATCAACGTGTCCATTCCCACTGATTATTTAGCCGTGCACGAAAATGGTTTGTGTACTAAATTTGTGCTTTAGAATATTAGTTGAACTCAGTCAAAACCGATAGAAATTTGATCAAAATATCATATTCCTTTATTTAATAAAATAAAAATGATTCGATAAAATAATCATTTGCGCCCAGATATATTATTAGACATTTATTTTTTTGGCATATTCCCCCGAGGGAAGCACCAAAAAGGTGGGATATTCTTATCTGTGATTCTTGTGTAGCATATGCTTTCCTCCGACTCGAACCCCTTTGTATGTTAAATGACCAAACTGCCCCTGTCCTCGACATCTTGAACCCATACCGAGCTCGAACATGTTTCCATTAAACCGAGATTTTTTTTTATATGCGAAAATTTCAACTTGAAGAACTAAAATTCGATATTAAAAAAATATTTTATGAACATACATATATACTAAACCGAAGTAAATAAAAAAGGAAAGCTAATATATTATCACGTGTTAATTTTATAGGTTAAATTTTAAATTTTATACATGATTTTTAATTAAAAAATTATAAATGTAGAATTTAATTTCAGTAAGCGATTGGTTTATGATTTTTTTAATTCGGGTTTTGGGGGCAAGGGCAATTTTGTCATTGTACAAGGTCATGTTGCAACAGGTAATTTTGTCCGATGAATGGAAAATAAAACCAAATTTAGTTTACAACTTGAATATTCGGACCCAAGTTGCAATCACTGCAACGGGTGCACGGGATTCGACGTACAACCCCGCTTCATCTCATCACACGTGGCATTTATACCACGTGTCATAATCTAACGCCACTCTCACCAAAGTTCCGGTAAACCCCGCGTGACGGAATCGCTCTCCGTGAAAACAAAGCTCCAGGTGGTTTTGACATCAACCACAACCACATACACACATATATATGTATGTATATATGAATACACATACACTATATATATATATATATATGTGTACAAGAAACTCGAATTGTTCAAGAAATTGAATTTTTTTGTACGAACGACATTGCCGGAGAACTGGTGAGGACGGGGGCGAATCAATGTCGACGGAGAAACTGCTAGACCGTCACGGCGTTAAGTCCGACGACGTGAGAAGGACCAAAACCGACGCGGCGGCGGAGACGCCGTTATCTCACGGCGGATTTCAGATTTTCGAGGAGCTTCCCAAGGCTACGATCGTGTCGGTGTCGCGACCCGACACCGCCGATATCAGTCCCCTGCTTCTTTCTTACACCTTGGAGCTTCAGTATAAACAGGTATATATATACACACGCACATCTATGTATATACATACATACACGCGTATAATTGATTGTATATAGGGTTTTCGGGTGTTTGGTATATGAGCAGTTCAAATGGACATTACAGAAGAAAGCTTCTCAGGTTCTCTCCTTGCATTTCGCTTTAAAGAAACGTTTGCTCATCGAAGAACTCCACGAGAAGCAAGAACAGGTAATAATTTTAATCAGATAATCACTAATTAACGAATAGTAATCTTAGATTAGAATCCAAAGATTTCATAGGTAATCTTCATTTTCTGAAAGGTTAAAGAATGGCTGCACAGCTTGGGGATAGTAGATTTGCAGGGCTCATCGGTTGTGCAAGACGAAGATGAACCAGACGATGGAGCTGTTCCTCTGCAGTATTCTGAAGACGGTGTCAAGAACAGGTTCTTATAATGTTCTATCAGCAACAGATCAAGAACCGTGTTTTCTCTTGTTTCCGACAATGTTTGTATCTTTCCATGTGTTCAGGGACATTCCGTCTCGTGCAGCGTTGTCGATTATCCGACCAACGATAGGGCGGTCGTCGCAGTGCCTTGTGGAGCAAGGAAGAGTCACGATGCAAGGATACCTCAATCTCTTCCTCGGAAACTTGGACATCGTGAATTCACGAGAGGTTGATGATCCGTTTCTAGCCATTGGCGACGATTTCTCTCTGTTCTTCTTGCATGACAGAACGTAATCTTTCAGGTCTGCAAGTTTCTGGAAGTTTCTAGGCTCTCCTTCGCTAAAGAGTACGGGCAGAAGATGAGAGAAGGTTATGTCATGGTGAATCATCTCAGGAACGTTCCAGAGCCAGATGGTAGCCGTAGCCGATGCTGCCATCCCCTTCACTGGCTCGGTTGGTTCGGAACTGGCTGGACAAAGGTGAACTTTTCTCTCGAAATCTTTGCAACTTTTCTTGCTCGATCGATAAAAATTTATGGGTTTCTTGAAACGTTTTCCAGGTCTGGGCGGTTCTGAAACCGGGTTTCTTGGCATTGCTTGAAGATCCTTTCAGCACAAAGCTACTAGACATCATCGTTTTCGACGCATTGCCCTTCCAAGATGTGAAAGAGAGTTCTGAGAAGCCGGGTTTAGCCGAGCAGACGAAGGGACGGAACCCGTTACATTATGGGTTTAGGGTGAGAAGCGGAAGCAGAAGCGTGGATCTGAGAACGACGAGCTGTGTTAAAGTCAGAGAGTGGGTTACTGCCATAGACGAGGCTGGCTGGTGCAATCCTCACAGGTTTGGCTCGTTCGCTCCACCCAGAGGCTTGACCCATGACGGTAGCCAGGCTCAGTGGTTCGTGGACGGTCACACCGCCTTCGAAGCCATAGCTTCTGCCATTGAAACCGCTAAATCAGAGGTAGAAACTCTCAGCGTCTTCGGCTTTCGGAACTTGAGTCGGAATCTGAAACGGTATTCAATCTGCAGATATTCATGACGGGTTGGTGGCTATGCCCGGAGCTATATCTCAGACGGCCGTTTCAAGATCACGCTTCTTCCCGGCTCGATTCGTTGCTCGAGGCGAAAGCAAGAGAGGGCGTCAAGGTTAGATTATGTTTTTGTCTATTCTAATCGATCAGATTACGTTTTCGATTCTGAAACCCGATAAATTATTGCAGATCTACGTTCTTATGTACAAGGAAGTGCAGATCGCGTTGAAGATCAACAGTATGTACAGCAAGAAACGGCTTCAGAACATTCACAAGAACGTTAAAGTTCTTCGATATCCCGACCATCTCTCCACCGGCATTTATCTCTGGTAAGGATCTCCAGATTCAAGATTCTACAGATTCATCTTCAAGAAAAACGTTTTCATATTTAGGGTTCTTCCCATTCCAACAGGTCTCACCACGAGAAGATTGTGATTGTGGATTACCAGATTTGCTTCATAGGAGGGCTCGATTTGTGCTTCGGCCGCTACGACAACATGGAACACAAGATCAGTGACTGTCCTCCTTACATTTGGCCAGGAAAAGATTATTACAATCCCAGGTAAAAAGAACTAGGAGTCTGTCCGCTTTCTTGATGATGATCCTACGTCTGGAGAATTCTGGACGCTAATCGAGATCTTGATCAGAGAATCCGAGCCGAATTCGTGGGAAGACACGATGAGAGACGAACTGGACCGGAGAAAGTACCCGAGAATGCCGTGGCACGACGTCCATTGCGCTCTCTGGGGACCCCCTTGCCACGATATCGCTCGACATTTTGTTCAACGGTGGAATCACTCTAAGGTAACGTATATATATCGTTCTCAAGACGGGATGAAAATCCAGACTGATATTCGTTTTTTCTCAGAGAAACAAGGCTCCGAACGAGCAGGCGATACCGCTGCTAATGCCGCACCATCAGATGGTTCTTCCTCATTACATGGGAAGCAGAGAGATCGATATCGTGTCTAAACCCGAAGGAGAGAATGAGAGATCTGGTCTGAGCAGACAAGACTCGTTCTCTTCCACCTCTCCGACTCTCGACATCCCACTGCTTCTCCCGCAAGAAACCGACGCAGAATTCGCATCTCGAGGTTTGAGATCTTTGGTTTTGATCAAACTGTTTCTATCTCGAGAGACACATGATACCAATTGGCAACCTCTTCTTCTCTTGCAGTGCCTTCGGGAGAGCTGAAGAAACCGAGCAGTGGCTCGGGACAAGATCTCTGTCCAGAAGAAGTTAAACCGGATGAGTTTTCTGACAAAACTTGCGAAGCTAGCAACCAGGACGAAACGACGGACAACTGGCCGCTGGAGATCGGACAACGAACGGATTGCAGGTGTCAGATCATCAGAAGTGTCAGCCAATGGTCGGCCGGAACGAGCCAGCCCGAAGAAAGCATTCACAAGGCTTATTGTTCTCTCATCCAAAACGCTGAACACTTTATCTACATAGAGGTAAAGAATCTGAAACATATTATCTTTCTTGTCCGAAACAAATTGACCAATGTTTCGAGGTTTACAGAATCAGTTCTTCATTTCGGGGCTCGAGAACGACGACACGATCCAAAACCGCATTTCGGAATCGCTGTACAGACGCATCTTGCAGGCTCATGAAGAGAAGAAGCGTTTCCGCGTCGTGATCGTGATTCCTCTCCTCCCTGGGTTTCAGGTACTTCTAAAATCGGCGAAATCTCGATCTTCCACAAGAAAAAGGGTCAACGTAACATTTGAATCTAATGGCCGAACAGGGCGGAATCGACGATTTCGGAGCGGCCACGGTACGAGCGTTAATGCACTGGCAGTACCGTACAATCTCCAGAGGAAGAACATCGATTTTGGACAACCTCAGTGCATTGCTCGGTCCCAAGACTCAGGACTACATCTCTTTCTACGGTCTGAGATCGTATGGACGTCTGTTTGAAGGCGGTCCGGTCGCCACCAGCCAGGTTTACGTGCACAGCAAATTAATGATCGTCGATGACCGCATCGCCTTGATCGGATCTTCCAACATAAACGACCGGAGCTTGCTAGGTTCCCGAGATTCCGAGGTACTTCCTCACAACTCAATGTCTTCTCTTACCGAAGATTTGATCGGATCTCATGTCTTCGTTTAGATCGGAGTGGTGATTGAAGACAAAGATTTCGTAGAATCTTCGATGAACGGAGAGCGATGGATGGCCGGAAAATTCTCCTACAGTCTCAGATGCTCATTGTGGTCGGAGCATCTCGGCCTTCAACCCGAAGAGGTAAAGTTCGGATTTTTTTAGCATTTTCCCAAAAAAAAAAACGAAACTGATGAAGTTCTTAGCTTTTTCTCGGTGTTTAGGCGAAAAAGATCGAAGATCCGATATCAGACTCAACATACAAGGATCTGTGGATGGCGACGGCTAAGATGAACACACAGATTTACCAAGCAGTATTCTCTTGCATCCCGAATGAACATATCCACTCCAGGTAACTTGCACTTTCTTCGCAAAAATCTCGAAATCAGATCGTTAATTTTGGGGGAAAAGACACAGACTTTCTCGTTCTTCGCAGAGCGGCATTACGATACAACACATCTGTTTCGAAAGACAAGTTAGGGCATACAACGATCGATCTCGGCATAGCTCCTGAGAGGCTAAAGCCATTTAGCAACAGAGAATCCGACTTCTTCCTCGACCCGATGGAGAGGTTGAAGGAGACGAAAGGACACCTTGTCTGTTTTCCGTTGCAGTTCATGTGTCAAGAATCAGATCTCAGACCTTTTTTCAACGAGACCGAGTTCTACACTGCCCCTCAAGTCTTCCATTGATGATACCTATCCAGTAGTTTTGCTTCATTTCGGTTACACAACCGTAACCGGTCCTGTCTGGTGCCGGTTTGCATAAACCGGCTCGAGATCATGTCAGTTCAGGAGGGATCGATGCAAATTACCATCGGTTTACTGGAATCGGGTTTGGTTTGAGATGGTTTTACTGTATTGATGATCTATGGATCTCTCTGTTCTGTATCAACGTTTTCGAATTTGGATCATATCAAAGAGAGCTTGATTCACTTCTCGTACCAATGAACCGATTCTATATAACAAACCACGATAAAAAAGAACTTTTGGAACGCAATGTTTGCGATCGAGAACAAAACAATGTTGCGATTCGCAATCGCAATCGTGGCGTTGTTGTGATCGCTACTCTATTTACATTTGAGTGGCATTGATTTTTTCCAAACGCGAGTAAAAAGCTATGAGGAAGAGGAAGAAGAAGAGTGGAAGAAGAGGCATACCGCCGAAATATCGTCCATGGCGATTCCCCGTCTCTTCTTCTTCCACGCACGAACCGCTTGCTCCACGAGCCGCTTGGCCGCCTTAGCTGGCTCTCCAGTCGATGACACTATCTCTACTGCCTCCTGGTTCGAGGTCACATCCCATACCTTCATTGCGACAACAAGAAGGAACAGTTTAGTTTCTATCTTTCGAGGTAACATTTTCGATGGCTGTGAATTCAGATTCGATGCTTACACCATCAGTGGCCAAGATGACGAACTTGTCTCTACCGGTGATATGCCTTTGCATGACTTCAGGGACAGAGACAAGTCCGTATTCTTTGATACAATAATCTCCGAAGGCTCGGGACATTGCGAGTCCAGGCGATTCCTCGTCGGGTAGCCACACTCGGTGAACTCCGGGCTCGTCCTGGAGGCAGAAAACCCGGCCGTTGCATTGCAGAATCCGCTC